GCCGCTTGAGCCACAGACGCTGAGCCATTATATTCTTTTTTTCACTTTTTTTGATCAACATAATTTAAGTGCACCACAGAAGTTTAACTATAGGTTCAAGTGTGCTGTGAGATAATAAAGGTTGAAAAACACTGGTCTAAGACAATTAAAACAGTACATAACGAGTTGTATTTATTTGGGGGGGTGGGTAGGTGACAGCTGTTAAGTCTTTCAAAGCTAGGATTGGAAAGAGCAGTTAATAGGTAAAAGCAGCTCCTGTGGCTCAGTGGGTAGGGTGCCGGCCCCACATACCAAGGGTGGTAGGTTCGAACCCAGCCCTGGCCAGCTAGAACAGCAGTGATAACTGCAACAAAAAATAGTTGCACGTTGTGGCAGGCACCTGTAGTCCCAGCTACTGGGGAGGCTGAGGCAAGATGATTGCTTAAGCCCAAGAGTCTGAGGTTGCTCTGAGCTGTGATGCCATAGCACTCTACTGAGGGTGACCAACTGAGACTTTCAAAAAAAAAAAAAAGTCTTTACTTTTTTTTTTTAAGAGATAGAGTCTTACTTTATCGGCCTCAGTAGAGTGCTGCACCATCACAGCTCACAGCACCCTCCAACTCTTGAGCTTAAGCAATTATCTTGCCTCAGCCTCCCAAGTAGCTGGGACTAAAGGCACCTGCCACAACGTCCAGCTACTTTTTGTTGGAGTTGCCATTGTTGATTTAGCAGGTATGGGCCGGTTCAAACCCACTAGCTCTGGTGTATGTGGCCAGCAAACTACCCACTGAGCTAGTGGTAACCCCTGGTAAAGGTTTTGTTTGAGACAGAGCCTTAAGCTGTCCCCCTGGGTAGAGTGCTGTGGCATCACAGCTCACAGCAACCTCTAACTCCTGGCCTCACGTGAGTCTCCTCCCTCAGCCTCCCAAGTAGCTGAGACCACAGGCACCTGCTACAATGCCTGGCTATTTTTTGGTTGCAGCCATCATTGTTGTTTGGTGGGCCCGGGCTGGATTTGAACCTACCACCTTAGGTGTATGTGGCTGGGGCCTTAGCCACTTGAGCCACAGGTGCCAAGCTGGTAAAGTTTTTTTTTGAGACAGCATCTTGTTCTGCCTTTCAAAATGAAGTGCAGTGGCACGATCATAGCTAACTGCAGCCTTAAAGTCCTGGGCAAAATCGATCCTCCTGCCTTAGCCCCCTGTGTAGCTGGGACTGAAGGCATGTTCCACCATGTCTCACTAATTTTGTATTTTTTGTTGAAATGTGGTCTCACACTCCTGACTTCCCAAAGTAGTGGGATTATAGGTGTGAGCCATACTGCACTGGGCCTGTTGTGTGGGTCTACTGTATACAAGTTTTTGTGTGGACATGCTTTCATTTATTTTGTTGTTGTTGTTGCAGTTTTTGCCCAGGGCCAGGTATATGGGGCTGGCGCCCTACTCCTTGAGCCACAAGCACTGGCTGCCTCAAATTCTTATTTTCTTTTTTGAGACAGAGTCTCACTATGTTGTCTTCAGTGTAGAGTGCCATGGTTAAGTGATTCTCTTGCCTCAGCCTCCCAAGTAGCTGGGACTACAGGAGCCTGCCACAACACCTGGCTATTGTTTAGAAACAGGTCTCACTCTGGCTCAGGATGGTCTCAAACCTGTGAGCTCGGCCAATCCACCCCCCTGGCTTCCCAGAATGCTAGGATTAAAGGTGTGAGTCACCGTGCCAGGCCAACATGTTTTGATTTCTCTTGGGTATATGCCCAGGTGTGGAATTATTGGGTCATATGGTAAATGTTTAAACTTTTAAGGAATTGCCAGATTATTTTCTATAGTGCTTCTATGGTTTTCCATTTCTACCAACAGTATATATGAGGATTTGAATTTTTCCATATCCTCACCAATACTTGTTATTATCTCTTTGATTATAGCCATCTTAATGTATATGAAGTGGTATCTCATTGTTGTTTTGTTTGCACTTCCCAGACAGCTAATTGTGCATCTTTTCATATGCTTATTGGCCATTAAAGTCTGTTCACATCCTCTGCCCATTTTAAAATTAGGTTATTTGTCTTTTTTTTTTTTT